TCTAACGGTCCTGGACGACTAGAATCACGCAAGAAAATCATTCACAAGAAAAGAAAAGAAAAGGAAGGTACGTTCGAAGGAAACAAATCACGAGGAAATAAAGGAAAGGAAGGTACGTGCATATCCAGCTGGCAGACCGGTCGTTCGAGCTCCGTGGGAACCGCTAGCGAAACTAACCTCGCTTTAATCGCGCGCCGATGGATGCAAATCGGACGGTGAAAACATCGTTTGGGTCTGTTACTAATTTCCGTACAACTGTAAATTAGCTTTTGTTGGGCTAAGTCCCTCCACATGGAGGTGTGTTGGCAGCCCAACATCAGCTCATAAGTCTAACACATGTCGGCCGTTGAACTTCGCTGCATCCAACGGTTGAGAGTGCTTCCAAGGGAAGTGAAGCAAGAAGAAAACCCTAGCCACTCCACCACTGCTGGGTGTGGCTGCCATTCGTGAGAGTGAGAGAGAGAACACACAAGAGAAACCACAACCTGAGAGAGAGGAAGAAGAAGAAGTAGAGGTTCTGTCCAGATTTGCTGCATCTGACTAGACAGTGTTCAAGCTGGTGGTTGGAGTCTCAAACGTGCTTGGATCGACCCCAAACTGGGTGAGCTCGTTCCTTACTTTGAGTACTTCGATTTGGTTAGCTGGTTTGAGGATTGGGTCAGTGGAGCATCAGATTTGAGAGTGATTTTGTCAGCTCTGACTGCTGTAGTTTCAGAACAGAGTAGTTTTGGGAGACGAACAGTTTGGGTAGGCAAACGATGTACGATTGAGCTGAAATTTGGAGGGGATCTCAGGAACTCGTGTGTCTACTTGTCTGCCAAATTTGGTGCTGTTTGGTTCAGCGGTTTAAGAACAGTTTGCAAAATACTGGAGGGTACAGAAGCTGTGTAAACTCTGTTTTGCTGAAACCTTACTTCTTGTGGTTGTTGTTATTAGCTTTTACTTACTCATACATACTCCCACTAATCAAATTCAAATATTGTTATCCTGTTTATAATAAATCTATTGTGTATAGAAGGTATGTACGCTTGTTGAATTTCACCATAATATTATATGATCGCTGGTGCACTAGTGAGTAGTTACACAGGTCTGATATCCCATCAAAAAAAAAATTAGAGTCCATAGAGACAAAGATTCAAACAGCTCCATTCTTCATTGTGGTCTGCTAAAATCAGGTACTGTTCAGAAGCATAGCATCATATTGTATATGCTAATGTCTGTAAAAATGGTTTGTGAGTTACTCCCTCCTTCCTAAAATCTTAGGCACCCAAGATTTTCCCAAAAATCCCAAAATCTTAGGCGCCTAAGCCCCTTTGCCTGTACTACCTCTCCCGTACAGTTAGTTTCAGCTAACTATCGCTAGTCCTAGGCCGATCTCACGTTGTGGTTAGACAGCCTGCACCTCGAGCAGTTGGGCCTTTTCTTCCCGCATGCTATGGAGCTGGCCCGTTTGCTGATTTCCTAGATCGGTCAACCACAGCCTATGCGGTTAGAGGAGATCGTGCATGAATATGCAACAATACGATGTCTTAACAACAACCAGCCGTGCGCTAATTTTCATGCCATATGATGCGGTTAGGGTGGGAACTATTTGGCAGAGCAAGTGGAATTGGTGTTTGCATATGTTCAAAGTCCAGCGGCAGCTAGCCTTGAAGTGGACATTTCAAAAAGGAGCACGTTTCCGTGGCAAAATATTTGCTGGGAAGAGCGGCAGTGGAGACAAGGAATAGGATGGCTCATCTGTTGTGTTATGCCGTAGATTTGCCATGTGATGGTGACCAAATCTGAAAGAAATGAGAGCCATTCCAAAAAACCGAGACTAGAGGTCCCTTAATTTTAACTAGTGATAAAGTTCAACAGTGGGGTTTTTGTGAAACGAAAGGCGGTGTAGAGCTGTTTGTTAGTTTGTTAGTTTGTTTGTCTATATGTGTTTGGTGAATGGATCACTTGCGTACTGAACCATTTTTATAGCGTTCTAAAAAATAACTTGACTTGGTTACATCTTGAATGAATTACTACATTATTCCAAAGGCCGTCCTCACCCGAGCAAATGATCCAACTCACACAGTCCACAGCTCAATAATGGACTAAATATGAGGACCTAGACCATGTTTTTTTAGAGACCTGCGAGACGATGTTTGATCATGCTATAGACAAGGGTGTTTAGCAAGGTCTTGTGATTTAAATATGACAGATCAACGGATCCATCGGTGACTTATGTAGCCAATGGGGAGCCACAAACGTCTGAAAAGGACACAATGCTAGTTTTTTGTTTGCATTTTGAACCCTCTGAGATTAGAGAGCATCATTAAGCTCACGTGGTACACTGATCAATGAGGTGGTATCCAAGAAGACTAAATTGAATATACCTCAAGACTCAGATTCGAGTGAGCCAACGACTTGAGTCTTGAGATGCTGTTCTTTGGACTTCGAGTGATACGTATTCATAACTCCGTCCTCACTCCAATAAGTTTAAAACTAAATAAACTTGTCACTCCTAAAACTTGGCACCGGCTCTACATTTGTTTCTGTGTGGACTGAGGAGAAAGGGGCTGAGAAGGAAGGGGATTTCAGCTAGTGGTAGTTCGTCGCTTCGTAGGTTGGGCTTTTGTTGACCTCTATAATGAACTACTCTCCCGTTCCTAAAATGTAAGATCATTTTTTAACTTATATTTTAGGAAGGAGGGAGTATAATGTTTGAAAGGCCAGTCTCCAAAGAGATGCTTACTTTTCCCTAAAGAGTTGGTGGAGACTGGGACGGGCCAACCATCGAACTCACATGAGGCCAGAGCTTAACGATGATTAAGAAGACTTCATCATTTTTTTAGAGACTTGCAAGATGTTTGATCGTCTGTATTTTAAAGCTAGAAGAGACGAGGGTGGTTAGCAAGGTGTAGTGAGTAAAATATGCCAAATCAATCGGTGACTTATCCAGCCAATGGGGGGCCATGTACTCTTTTTTTTTTGAGGGGAGGAGCCATGTACATCTGAAAAGGATACTCCACCGACGACTATTGTGCTCCACTGTGACAGAGAATATATATGTAAAGTTCTGTACTCGTTTTTGTTTGAGAGTATCATTAAGCTCACATGGTACACTGAATGGGAGATATCAAAGAAAAAAATAGCACGCTATAAAAAATAGTGCCGCCCCTTAAAATACACTATTAATGTGCTATAACGCATTATAGCATGCTATTAGCGAGACATTGTACACCGATTTACTTAGTGAGACAATTCATAGCGACACTATAGCACGCTATTTTTTCAGTGGGTGGTATCCCAGAAGGTGAAAAATAATTAAAATCCATATATAGGACAAATTTTATCTACCGCCGGTGGTAGTTACCGTCATTTGAGTTTTGTATGCTGTATGTAGTATTTATACAATCGGAGAGTATGTACGGGTAGTTTGTAGTATATAAGAATGTTTAGGTAGAATATATACTACTTTTTAGGTAGTATGTATCGTATTTTATGTATGCTCCTTTTTACGTACAAATATGTACATATTTCACAAATATAATTAAACCATTTTTCATGTAACTCAGTTTGAAATATCTTATATATAGTACATTAGCATATCTAAAATGATAAAGTAGTATATATAGTACCACGTGGTAGTATATGAGACATGTAGGGTAATTACCCCTAGGTGGTGTGATGTATTTTGAAACATTTCCTTTTCTTTGGGAGAAATCGTCAAGGAGAACGAGATAATATTGGTAGCCCACATACCTACAAATAGCTAGGCGAAGTCCAGAAGTGACTGTGAATTATTTGAAAAGGTGCACTAGTAATAGACGTGGAACAGGGAAATAGCTTATATGGTTGTTGTTTTCCTATTTGACATGATTCACAAACGGGAGGAGGCGAGGTGTCTTTATTACGTGAGCGAAGCAAGTTTTTGGGTAAAGTAGAATGCGGATGTCGCCAACGAAGGAGAGACTTGTTGGAGGCTATAGTTGCTGACTTATAGAGGTCATCGTGACTATTGGATCTCATGGGATTTTCTGAAATGCTAGATCCTTCACGGTAAAACCTACGGAGTCAAACTTTAATTATGTAAGAATTATCGGCGGTGAAATGTTGTACAGAATTTAAGTTCTTAAGTATCAGAGAACTCCTTGTCAAAATGGCCGGATGACTTCGCCCGCATGCCGAAGAACCTGTCTTGCTCTTTGGGAGCTTCTTTAGCGGCATGGCAGCGGTCGGTGCGGGGCAGCAGGCGGTGGTCGGTGCAGCGGTGTGGGTCTGCTGCGGTGGTGCGGGGCGGAGGGCGGGGCTGCAAGCGGCGGTGGTACGCGGCAGGAGGGGCTGTGGGTGGCGGCGGTCGAGGCGGTCAGTGCGGAGGTCCAATCGAGCGGTGGCAGTGCGGGGATGCGGGTGGGGCGGTTGCGGTGGTGGAATCGAGCGACGACAGCGGAATCAAGAGGCAACGGTGAAATCGAGCGGCGGCGAAAAAACGCCCAATTCGTTGTGTGGGGTGGCGGCCAACGGTCGAAACGTGGCGGAATGGGTGGCGGAGGTGCTGGAGGGCACGAATCTGGCGTAGGGCAGCGACGGCGGGGTGCGGCCAGTGGGTGGGCGGCGGCAGTGCGGCAGGGCCGCGGGGAGGAGAAGATGGGTGGGGAAGGAAATGGAACAGTAGTTGGCGGTTGATGCGCGACTGCCATTTTTACATCTTCAGTCGGCAGAGATGCAAATTTTCAACGTGAGGTGCTGTATTTTACATCTCCGGGAGACAGAGATGTAAAATCTTTTGCATCTACATCATCTATTGAAGAGGGGTTTTGGGGCTTTGAAGATGCAAAGGTACTAATACCAGACATCGACATAGTGTCATGATCGCTGTAGGGAAAGAAAACGACGCTCCAGCAGCCTTTATCTACCTTTATTTTTATTTTAATAAAGAAGAAGCATCTCAATGTCATGGCGTAAGGATTGGACCCACAATTCCGATCTAGCCGAGCTGTATTGACTTTTTTTTATCGTCATAAATGTCAAAAATCTTTGTCTTTAAATCATTGCTGCTCGGTGCCCATATCCATCAGAGTAGCACTAGAAGAAAGAAAGAAAACGGGAGAGGAGAGCAAGAAAGAGGAAGAATGGCCGCCAGTGAGGAGGGGGTGCGGGTGGTAGAGTCCTGCTTTGTAAAGCCGGCCGCAGACACACCAAGAAAAGCGATCTGGCTCTCGCCACTCGACATCATGCTGGCCAGAAGAGGCTACACCCCACTCATCCACTTCTACCGTCCTTGTGTCGACCAAACCAGTGCCCAAGACTTCTTTGACGTGACTAGGTTGAAGAGTGCGCTGGGCAAGGCTCTTGTGGCCTTCTACCCCATGGCCGGGCGGCTCAGGGTGGGCGTCCATGGCAGGTTGGAGATCGACTGCAACGGTAAGGGCATGCTCTTTCTTGTGGCCTACTCTCGTCTCACCATCGATGACTTCCGCGACTTGAAGCCATCATCAAAGCTAAGGAGGTTTTTTGTTCCTTGCATGGACGACTCATCCGACATCCTGTGCGCCACCCAGGTTTGAATTTGATTCTTTCTTAAGTAGGCACTGAAAGAGCAAAAGCACACAAAGAAATATCCTCGATCCAAGCCAAGCAGGCCCTTAGTTTTTTCTTTCTTTCTCACCAAATCAACTAGCATATTGCAATAGCACAAACATGCTTACAGCAAGCAAGTAATATGTGCGACATGCAAATTAATGTATGCAGGTGACATTCTTCAAGTGTGGTGGAGTGGCCTTAGGGACGGCGACGCACCAAGGCGCGATGGACGGCACTGCCGCGTTTCACTTCTTCCAGACATGGTCAGCCTTCTCCAGGGATGGCGACCGGGACGTGGTGAAGTTCCCCTACCTTGACCGCACACTCTTGTGCGCGCGCGACCCACCCATTATTCATCCGGACACCCTCTCCCTATTCTGCCTCAAGACAACCAACTTGTCCCGGCCGCCGGCGCCGGGGCCTGTCGTCGTCAACGAGGTTTTCACCCTCTGCAAGGATCAAATTTCCGCTCTTAAGCACATGTGTGGTGGCGGCCGCGTGAGCACCTTCAGCGCCGTGAGCGCATACATGTGGCGGTGCATGTGCTTAGCCCGGCGGCTTCCGCCAGACTCCACGACGCGCCTCGAGTTCCTGGCCAACTTCCGACGCAGCATTGCGCCGCCGCTCCCGGACGGCTACTTGGGCAACGCGATGTTGCAAGTAAGCGTCGCCGACAAAACATGGGACGTCGTCTCGCGCGATCTGGCCCACGTCGCGCACCGGATCAGAGGCACTCTCGGCCGGGTGAACGATGAGCTGGTGCGTTCGGCGGTAGACTACCTCGAGCTCGACCTGGCAGAAAGGGACAACGGCCCGGCTATCGGCGTTCTGCCAGCGACGGACCTGTGTGTGGTCAGCTGGCTCGGCATGCCCTTGTACGATGTGGATTTCGGCTGGGGAAAGCCGTTGGCTATGTTGCGTGCCGAACAAAACCGCCGAGGTTTCGTGCTCATGATGAACGGCGCGCGGGGGGATGGCAGCGTGCGCCTGTCCATGTCCATAGAAGCTGCAATTCTCAAGGAGTTCCAGCGTTTGTTCTATACAAAGCTCGATAGCAAGGTGTATTCCAAGTTCTAGCCGGCTATATATAGGTCCATTATTTCTGTCCAATGATTTTGTTTCACTTGATGGAGAGCTAATTATTTGTATACATATGTCTCGGAGTGTATTAATTGATGATATGCTCAGGTGTTTAGCCAAGGGAGATAATCTGGGATGTAAATGTAGCAGATACTTCTAAGAATTTTAAAGTTGGACGAAATTATTATATACTCATAAACTAGCAGGATTGCCGGCTAGCTAGATTGATTATATACTAGCAAAAATTACCCGTGCGTTGCAACGAAAAAAAAAACAGACCCCCTAGCAGTGGCGGAGCTTTGTGGAGAGCAACCTGGGCCATTGCCCCCCCAACCCATGAGAAAGTTAGCAAATATCCCCTAGTATTCAGCCCATATGTCGAGTTAAAATCAGCCCAAAAGCATGTTTCTTGCCCCTCCAGCCCATTTGCCCCTCCAGCCCATTTGCCCCTCCATAAATTCAGCCCAAGCTCCGCCACTGCCCCCTAGTCCAAAGGTACAAAGCCACATCATGCTCCATCGCTTACATACTCTCTATCTATCTATCTATCTATCTATCACGTTCATACATTTCGGGAAGCATCGGTGTTATCGACATGAAATAAAAAGTGCATGCATGAAGTAGATTGGAAATGGTATCTTGAAAAGCAAGTGCATGGCTAACAACATATGTGAGAATTGCTAAATGCTCCAAAAACTTGTTTAAACAAAACTGTCATGCAACCTATACATCTAAATAAACGGGACTCAATATACTTATACTAATCTAGGGGATAAAATGAAGTTAAGGTATCCTTTCAGTATTGTTTCCAAGCAAAATGCCTTCATAGCTTTACACCAGATTGGTTGAGCTACCTCAAGAAGTCTAAAAAAATTGCCACGACCAGAAGACTAACAGTGATAATCTGAACCACCGAGCTAAGCTTACATGCCAGATCGCTCATCCTGTTGAAGGCAAATTAAGGAGTTAATTACATTTTGGATTCAAATACAATAGACAGATACGTAAGATGCATCGCTATTATGTGGATAAATAAGTTAAATGAATACATGTTAGAATTGCAAGATGATGATGTTGTCCATACCAAATAGTATCCCATCGCTACTCATGTCTATGAGTTATGGATCATACAGGAAGATACAATATCTTGGTAGTTCGTGCAATGCATAATGGTAAGTTCAGGTACTCCCCATCAAGCCAAGTTGGTCATACAGGAGTATGATTCTTTCTTGGTGATTGTATCCACCCAAGCTTGTTCGTGCAATATCTTGGATCATACAGGAGTATGATTCTTTCTTGGTGATTGTATCCCATCAAGTCAAGTTGGTCCTCGCTGCAGCTAGCTGCACCAAGTGTTGCTCTATTACAGGTACACATACAGTAGAAGGATTTAGATTCTCGACTTTATTGTCTAAAACCAAGAAGGAATAATAAAAAATAATATTTGATGAAAGCTGTTGCAACTTCTCTATCAAAACCTTGGATAAATCAGTATTCATGCACCTTGCCAATTAGCACAAATAGAGATGCAAATTATCCCAGAGAGTTAGAAGACCCAAAAAAGTTAACCCACACATGGTGAACTCATACATAAGAGAACACCCAAGCAGAGTGATCAAGCCATGCAATCCAAGTTATTAAAATACTAATTAGTTATTGTATTTAGACAGTCGGTATTACGTAAAAACGTTTAAATGATATACAGTAATTTGCCAGGAGTATATGCATACTATTTTTTTCAAATGGGATATATACAACTATTCTCAGAGTATATACCTATGATACTGGCAATAATGATCAGTGTGTACTTTTTAAGAAAAAGGTTTCCCCCCGCTTTGTATTACAAAGCAAACATCCGATACAACCAACGATAGGTGCTGGGGCGGAAGCAGCACAACCACGCCAAAAAAAAGAAAGAGAAAAAAGAAAAGAAACAAATGTCGATAACGGCGATCGACAAAGACGACGGAGCCTCGCGACCGCTGCTTCCACCGAAGATCGTCCCCCAAGCTCCGAGACTCCGAAGCGCCGGTACCAATCAACACCTCCAAGAAGGGACGCGACGATGACGACGTTGTTGCCAAGAGTTTCCCCCGGTACACGGCGAGGAAAGAGGAAGGGTAGCCCCGACGCCCTCCAGGAAGGTCCGATGGCACCCTCAGGCGCCACCGCGTCGGTGTCGGCCAAGCCAACAAGGATTTCTCCCGATCCCATCCTCCACCTCAGGCACTCCGAAGCTCGCCACCAAACTGACCACCACCCTGAGCACACGGACACGAAGCATCCCACGCTGTCTCACCACGGCACCGCGAAGATGGCCTGCACAACGAAGAAGGGGAGCCGGGACTAGGGCAGCAGCACCGTCAGCATACTGGAGGGCCCCACCTCCACCATCCACGACGGTAGCCGATCGGACGCCAAAGCGGGAGCTTGCCGGGCCCGTGGCCCCACAGGCCCGTCCGGGCCCTCAGAGGCCCGGACAACTCCCGCCTCCACGCCGCAGTAGGCATGCCGTCGGCGTCGCTGCCCCCCGTCCGAGCTGCTCCACCACCTCACCACACAGACGACGACGAAGCCACGCCGGGGGCCGGCCCGCTAGGACCCAGATGGGGCC